CTGCGGGGTCACAGGGAGGCCCTGCGGGGTCCTGTAGGGATGGGGCGGGCTCTCGGATCCTGTAGGGGCGGGGCTGGCTCTGCGGGGTCCGGTAGGGGCGGGACGCACGCACCACGGCTTCGCGCGGCCGGAGGGGCAACCTCTTGCCCCGGAACTTCCGCCCGCAGGCCCCACCCCGCGGGCTTCGGTTCGGCCTGCCGCGCTTGCGCCAGCCGCCCCGGGCACGGCTGCTCTTGCGCATGTCTGCTCCCTGGGTCGCAGAGAGGAATTACGCAGTTGGGCGGCGTGAGTGCCCTCAGTTTATTAGTGTCGCTTCAGCACCTTAAAGTCGTCCACATGGTCACATGGGACAGATTAGCATCAGCTCCTCGAAAAGCTATTTACATTAATTTTGCTTCCCATTAAAAAGGAAAACTAGCAACACAAACACTGTAGAAACCAGTCACAACGAACAGGAGGGGGCGCCCACAAGCCAACTCGGCCCGCTGGCCCCTCCAGGACCCACAGCCCGGGGAGGGTTGGCGAGCCTGTAGAGTGCGGCGGCCTGGCTCCGGAGGAAGTGGCTCGGACGTTTTCATGAGGACATCGTTCGGAGACGCAGGTCACAGACGGCCAGGTCATTCAGGGGTGAGGACAGCGCGGCAAGGCCACCAGCCCCCGCACAGAGGTCTCCACCTCGCGTCCAGGTGCTGACCGAGGACCCTGGACTGCACGCCCAAATGAGACAGTGGCAAGGCGACCAACCTGGAGAGGGGGCAGGTCCCCACCTTCAAGGATAAAGGTGGAGCCTGCCCAAACCTCTCCGACAGCGGCGGCCCCGCCCAGAAGGAGCCTGGTGTTACTGACAGCGACTAGTGGCTTAACCGTGGAGCCTGGTGGGGCCGAGACAGCCCTCTCGGGTGCACGTGGGGTGAGGCCTGAGAAAAAGCACACACTTCTGACACACACTCTCCACTGCCCTCATGGCCACACTGCTGAAGACAGGTTTGGCTTCTGGTGGTCCATCAAGGGGACAAAGTGCTTTTCCATGAATCCTCATAACAGCTCCATGAGGTAGGCAGGGGAAATGTGACCTTCCTCTTTAACCAACAGGGAAACTGAGGCAAGTAATACATGTAGTCCAGGTCTCCATTTGTTCCTTCCTGGCACAGGGCCTATGTGGTGGTGGTCACATGGGGCTCAGGAGCAGCCCGGATGGGTGCTGGACCCAGGGCCAGCTGCTGAAGAGGTTCTCTCCTGCAGGGTGGAGCCTCAGAGCCACCTGGGGAAGAGTACCCAGGGAGGTTTCCCTAGGAAAGGGCTGCCCACAGCCAGGTAATCTGCACAATCTGTGGCCTCGAGGATAGAAAGTTCAGTCATCTCTTTTCCACCAAGAGTGACCTTTCGGAAGAAATTGGATGGCCACTCAAACTGAGAGCCCTGTGTACTTCAGCAGGGTGTTCTCTGGGGCAGTCCCCTGCAGAGCATTCTGCTCACAGGGCTCCTCTAAGCCACATATCCAGGTCCTAGCACTAGCCCCCTAGAGAGGGGCAGGTAAACAAGTAGATCACAGGTAAGAAAAATAGGCCATTCTCACCCCAAGGAAGGAGGTCCTGCATTTGGCACTGTTTTCTGAGCAGAGCCTTGTGCAGCTCTTGTTCTTAGGGCCACCAGTGTCCCTGGGAAGGCCACAGCTTCCAAGGGGATAGGAATGGGTGGGCTCTTCCTGTGCAGCCTGCAGGGTTCGGGCATGTCGGGAGAAGCGTGTCTGAGGCAGCACCCCTCCCTGCTGGTCTGTGGTGCAGGTAGTTAGATGGGTGACCCTGTTGCCGTTCAGCACACTCCTGTCCTGCTGCAAGGGAAGGCAGAGGGCAGGGCTGCCACCCAGGATGAGACCCAAACGCAACATGCTGCTCCAAGGAGCATGGCCTGGAGGGCGCACAGCCCTGAAGGGGGTGCCTGGCTCCTGCAGTTACCTTCTGTGATCAGCTGGCGTGTCCGAGCCTGCACTGGCCACGCCATTGCTGCAGGTGCCACACACACCTGGTTGCCTGTTCCCCAGTTCACCGTGATCCTCAACCTCAGCCCAGATACCCACACGGCCAGTTCTGGATGCTCTAGGCCAGCAGGCAGGGCAGGGATGGAGGGTGTGGCACAGCAGGCTAGTGTCTGGGCACTTGGCTTCAGCCTCAGACCAACCCCTGCCACTGCTCACCATTTCCCAGGCTGGACACTAGGACATTTGCAGGGACCAAGGCTCAGTCTGGGACAGCACAACACATAGAAGCCTAGCAGTATCTCAGGAATAGCTGAGGGACTGGAAGGGGTGAGGTGGGTGGGCAGGACTGTGGCTCTGTGGAGCCCCAAGGGGACTTCATGAGAGGAACATCTGTTTGGCAGCTACGTCGTCACATGTATTTGAGAGAATTAGAAAGATCTGCTACTATAAAATCTCCCCCACGAGGCTGGAGTTTATTGGGAGCTGTGCGTGGATGGTGCTGGGGGTGGCACCCCCCACACCTGGAGTCTGACCATGCCTGTGACCCTTGGCCCCTGGCCACCAAGCTCCGAGGCCTATGCCTGCCCTGGGCTCCCTGAGGAAGCAGATCCTGTCTTCCAGGAAGGAGGACATGAAGGCAAGAACCCTTCTTGCTTCACGGGCTCTGGGTGATTCCTGAGGCCCTGGACACTGCCCTCCACCTTCCAGCCTCCCTGCTCCAGCCAGACATTCTGGTTAATAAGCACGGCAGTTACTTGGCGCCCAGCAAGGAGCTGCCCCGTAGTTTTCAGGCTGTGAGTACATCTGTACTTAAGATGGTTTGTGTTTTTGACAGTCTGTCTGTGTAGTAAACTGCAATGTTAACAGAAATGTAGCTGCCCCTCCAGCAGTGGCCACCACAGGGCAGTAAATAGGTGCCTCCAGTGTCCCACACCACCCCCACGGTGGGCAGGGCTAGAAGGTGGCCTTGGAGTGTCCAAAGATGCAGATGGGGAAGTGCTTCACATGGGACGACCACTGAGCAGCCAGCTGGAAGAACTTGACATCGCTGCACTCCACGCCATCGATGAGGACTGCGAGAGAGGGCTGCCTGACCACCTGCCCGCCTGGCTTGCCCACCCACAGAGCAGTCCCTCAGGAAGCTGGGCTGCCGCCAGAGTACAGGACCAGGATCCCAAAGCTGGAGGCGCCCACACCCTCAGGAAGCCCCCTTGCCAGACCCTCTCTGCTACCCACCCTCCCAGGACATAGGGTCTCTGGGGGCCTCAGAGGAATAGCTGGCATGCGCCTCAGCCAGATGCTGTTTGTCCACCAGACCTCCTCCTCTCAGGTCAGGCCAGAGACTCTGTCAGCCCCATTAAAATATCCCCACTGGCCATCACCATGGGAAGACCGGGGCAGTTCTCCACCTGGAAGCCATGGGACTGGCCTCACAGGGAAGGAGAACCCTGGGAGCTCCACACGGAGTCCAATGTTGTCAGAATGCACCCTGAGAAACACTTAACTCACACGAATTGCTCCTTAACAACAGAAAGGGTTGAGAGTTATTTGAATGAGAAGAACTGTCCGGTACACCCAAGGGCCTCATCACCGTGTGCAGAGAACAGTGTGACGGGCGTTTCACAGTATGTCCTGTGGTAGCTAAAAAAGCTGCTCCCGGCTGCACTGCTCTGCCTGCACATGTGACATAACCCCAGGGGCCCTGGGGCCCCAGTGGGCCCCAAGTCACCACTGCCCTGCAAGGGCCTGTCTTACCCCGCAGCATGTTCTGCTGGTGCTTGGCTGTGCAGATCAGGCGGCTGATGCCCTCGATGCACTGGCTTTTGGACTCCACATCCTTGTCCTTTGTTTTCTTGGGCAAAAACATCACTGGGAGGAAAAGGGCCCTGTTGTCATCCACTGCTCCTTCTGGGCCAGGCTGACCAGAGCCGCCCTGCAGCAAGCAGGACAGGAGAGCAGTGGCCAGAGGGCTGAAGAGGAGTTGAAGGGGCCTGGCTGGCTACAGCTCTCAGACCCCTGTTGTCTACGATGCCCAGCTGCCTGCTGTGACCACAGGCAGACACCCTCCACCTGTCCCGTGGCCTCCAAGGGAGGCTCTGGTCACAAGTTGTCGGATCCTCAGTGCCCCCTAAGGCTCACTGTTGTCTGGGAGACCCCCCTGAAGGCCAGCCTGGGCCCCTTGGGTGTATGGGGAAACCACACGTGGGTGGTACTAGGAGGTGAAGGCCCTCATCCCCAATTCTCATGGACTGCCCCTCTTCCGCTGTGCAGCCCTGTGCAGCCTGCCCCCACCTCACCCTTCTTGTTCTTCTCCTTGGTGACCACAGTCATGGACATGGTGGGCGTGGCTGCAGCCTCACCACTGCTGGGCAGCCTGCTGACCTGGAGGGACCGGAAAGTGCACTTGAGCGTGTTTTTGGTGGTGGGCAGGTCCTTCTTCTCGGTGTCCCTCTTCCTGTCCGTGGGTTGTGCTGCCGTCCAGTAGTCCACCTGTAGCCCCATGAGCTCGGCGCCAGCGCCCTGGCTGTGAAAGGCAGAGGGAGACACTCACACTCAGGGCTATGGT